CGCTCGGAGCGGTCGTCGCTGCGGGAGCGGCGCCGCCGATCGCCCGAAGAGCGCCGCTCGCGGCGCTGCGAGCGCGACGTGCGACGCTCCTTCTTTCGCCGGCGTCCGCCGCTGTCCCGGCGGTGGCGCTTTTTGCGTTTCTCGCCGCTGCGGTGTCGGGAGCGGTGCCCGCTGCTGCCGCCGGCCGGCTCTGGCGAGTCGGCGCTCGACGACCAGCTGGAGACGCTCGGGTCGTCCACGGCCTCCAGCGACTCGGTGAGGCCAGCAGTCACCTCCGGCAGCTCGTCCTCCAGGTCGACCAGCTCGGGCTCGCGCCGGCTGCCCTCGTCCCCGCTGGGCAGCGGCGACACGGAGGCCGGCGGCGGAGAGTCAGCCGCCGGCCGGGCGCGCTCACCGCGGCCCGGTGTGCCGCTCGAGTGGCGTCTGGCGGCGCGGCCCGGTGTACCCCCGCCCGAGGCGCGCCGGCCGGCGGCGCCCTCACGCTCCCCGTCCGAGATGTCCATGTCGTGCGAGTCGTGGTCGTCGCCGGCGGGCAGGTCGGTCGGCGGCGGCCGGTAGTCGGCGTCGGCGCGGCGCCGGTAGTCGCGGTCCTCCGTCACCTGCGAGATGAAGTCGTCGACGCTCTTGTCCCAGGCGCCGTGGTCGGAGCTGGTGCTGGCAGTGGCAGTGGGTGGCGCGGTGACGGGCGCCGGGACGGGGACCGGCGGCGGCTGGCGGAGGTCCAGGTCGGCGGGCGGTGGCACCGGCGCCGGCGCCGGCGGCGGCACAGTCGGCAGCACCCGGTGGTCCGTGTCCGTCGAGAACGGCAGACGAGCCTCGTCCACCGCCTTAAACGCGGGGGGCAGGTCAATCTGCGAATTATAGGCGCTGTTACCTTTCTCAAAGGGCGGCGGCGAGCAGGGCGCGTCCACTGCGTCCTCCTGCCATGGGTGGTCGGCGTGCAGAGCCGGCGGCGGCCGGTTCGGCCACAGTTCGGCGCCCACCGGCGGCGGCGGCTGGCTGACGTCGGGCAGCGCCGGCGGCGGGCGCGTCAGGTCCAGGCCCGGGATGTGGGTGGCGGCGGCGGCGGCGGCGGGGGCGGCCGCCGGCGGCGGCTGCAGCTGCCGGCCGATGAGCCGCATCAGGTCTGAGAGCGGCTGGCTGGCAGCGCCGCCGCCGCCGCTGGCGCCCGACTCGTACGTGTCCTCATCCTGGAACATGACGGGCGCGCGCACCGTGGTGCCGCGTCAGTGGACATCACTCGCAGAGGAACTTAACGGACACGTACTGTTAGATAATAGCTTATGCGAAAACCCTCAAAGGCTTTACTTTTTAGCATACCAGAAGCAATTGGAGTAACTAAAAGACAAATGCAGAAACGAGTCAAGTAATGCAAAGTTAAGAATGACTCTTCCTCCCTAGCAATCATCGGGGTGCCCCTGTTTGTTTATTAAAGCTTAGAGCGCGTCAACTGCCCCGGCGGCCGCCACTCACGAAGTCGTTGTCGTCGGCCAGCGGGGTGTTCTGGGAGGAGACGGTGCCGCCCTGCTGCACGCCCGTCACCACGGCGATGGCTGACTGCTCGGAGAGCTGCGGAGGGGGCGGCGGCGGCACAGGCGGCGGCGTGTCGGCCGAGCGGCCCAGCAGCTCGGCCGCCAGATTCGCCGGGAACGAGGAGCCCATACCGAGAAACGAGCCGGAGCTGGCCGCTGGGAACTCGGCGCCGTCCTCGGCCACGACGGTCGGCTGCCGGCCCGGACAGACGGGGTAGGGGTGTCAGGAGGGAGGCGGCACAGACCGCTGGGCCGGCCAGCTCAGCCTCATTGACCGGACAGACGGGGTAGGGGTGTCAGGAGGGAGGCGGCAAAGACCGCTGGGCCGGCCAGCTCAGCCTCATTGACCGGACAGACGGGGTAGGGGTGTCAGGAGGGAGGCGGCACAGACCGCTGGGCCGGCCAGCTCAGCCTCATTGACCGGACAGACGGGGTAGGGGTGTCAGGAGGGCGGCGGCACAGACCGCTGGGCCGGCCAGCTCAGCCTCATTGACCGGACAGACGGGGTAGGGGTGTCAGGAGGGCGGCGGCACAGACCGCTGGGCCGGCCAGCTCAGCCTCATTGACCGGACAGACGGGGTAGGGGTGTCAGGAGGGAGGCGGCACAGACCGCTGGGCCGGCCAGCTCAGCCTCATTGACCGGACAGACGGGGTAGGGGTGTCAGGAGGGCGGCGGCACAGACCGCTGGGCCGGCCAGCTCAGCCTCATTGACCGGACAGACGGGGTAGGGGTGTCAGGAGGGAGGCGGCACAGACCGCTGGGCCGGCCAGCTCAGCCTCATTGACCGGACAGACGGGGTAGGGGTGTCAGGAGGGAGGCGGCACAGACCGCTGGGCCGGCCAGCTCAGCCTCATTGACCGGACAGATGGGGTAGGGGTGTCAGGAGGGAGGCGGCACAGACCGCTGGGCCGGCCAGCTCAGCCTCATTGACCGGACAGACGGGGTAGGGGTGTCAGGAGGGAGGCGGCACAGACCGCTGGGCCGGCCAGCTCAGCCTCATTGACCGGACAGACGGGGTGGGGGTGTCAGGAGGGAGGCGGCACAGACCGCTGGGCCGGCCAGCTCAGCCTCATTGACCGGACAGACGGGGTAGAGGTGTCAGGAGGGAGGCGGCACAGACCGCTGGGCCGGCCAGCTCAGCCTCATTGACCGGCGGGACAACCGATATGGACGTCTGACGAAGAGGGTCTGAGACCGAGCACAGCAGCATAGAAAGATGCGTCTGCATGAAACACGTTCACAGCCTCAACTAGCAACCAGCCACAGCAAGCCACAGTGAACATAAAAATGACCATTTGTTCAATGATATAGACTGGGTCATCATGATTTCACCATGATGGTCATGATTAATTGATAAAGTGACCATGATAAAAAAAAAATGCTCAGAAACACCGGCAACCATCAGCGCTTGGGTTGAACCGTCTTCAACATACACCGATTATTACGATTAAACAGTTTTCGCTAAATTAAACTAAATCGCTAGTTTTCTTTTTCACAGCTTCTTTCCCAAGTTTTACCAATGAACAGTCACTCAGTTCAGCACATGATTTTTTCCGCTAAAGCTAAACTTTTCGCGGCAATTTTTACAATTAACAGCATCATGCTAGGGGATACCGCGTAGTTAGAGGTAAAAAGAGAACAATGTACAAATGCATGTTATGCATCAAAATGTCCGACGCTGTATGGCAGGTGCTTCACTGCATGTATTGACCGTCGGCAGTTTTGACATTCATAAACATTTGGAAGTCCTCTGGTGAGTTCCACCTATTGTCATCCTCCACCTGAAGAGGTTCAGTTTCGCAGGCGGCACTGCGCGCCAGAATCACGCTCAGGTGACCTTCCCCCTGCGGGACCTCGATCTGCGTCAGTTGGGTCGCACCTCAACAAGTACAGGCTGGTCTACGACCTCTATGGCGTGGTAGAGCACAACGGCACTCAAGATTGCGGCCACTAAACAGCGTGCAGCTTCAATCATCCCGCCGACAGCTGGTTCTTAATGGATGACTCTAAAGTGAGAGAGTGCTCTGCCGCCAGCGTTCGAGACGCCACTGCCTATTCTCTGCTACAGGGCCCGAGAGAGACACGCCGCTGAAGGAGTTTTCACTGGCGATATGGTGCCAAGTGCACTGCCCTGGCGCACGGCAAGTGGCGAACCGCGCTGGCCGACAGTAGCACGATACGCGCTCCCCTACCCTCGCGGTGGCGGGGCGGGACCGCCAGCAGCGCTGCCACGCGATTGGACTCGGCAGCCACGCGGACGGCTGAGCTGGGACATGGTGGAGGGTAGAGGCCAGGAGGAGGGAGGCGAAGTGACGCGGTGACGGTGTGTGGAGTGACGATAATATTATGTTGCGCAGCTGGATACAGCATTTCGAAAAATTGTTATTACCTTTGATCATGGATGTGAAAATACATTAGTCTGTTATTTGTTTTGGAAGCCTTCCACTGAAAGCGTGTCCTGGACTTAATGCGGCCAGCTCCGGCCAGAAGCCATTTATTTATACATACAACAACATCCACAAGCATCGTGGCTTTTCAGTTGAGGTGATTATGAGGTGATGCGTTAAATACTATGGCAAGGATACGGATAGGATACGGGACGTTGTGATAGGATTGTGCAGGACTGCGAGTGCAGCTGCTGCCCAGTTGGCGCTGCGCACATCTGCAGCCTGGCAAGAAGGATAAGTATGAGGATATCACCGGGGCCCTAAGAAATGAAAATTTGACAAAAGGAAAGCTGATGAGTGCACGACTTCATGCAGATCGTGGTCGTAGTCGAGTTTCGTAGAAGTTCACCGATTTGTCAATCTTGCTTCCGTTCCCAATGCTCTCCCATTTCTCGGTAGCGTCTTGGACACTGGTCTTGATCACATGTCGCTACCTATTAATCATAGCAGGATAAATCACCAAACGTGTCTTGATACTGCATTATGCATCATCATATCTGTTGGCACACTAGATACGCTTTTTGCCCGTTAAAATGCACTTTCTAAACTGGTTCGGTTCATTCATTTTCCAGAAGTGTCAAAAACAATCACGTGACTTGGAGGCTCGAGACTTGAAAAATCGAACAATAAATTGTGATGTTCTTGCCGGGCCAAATTGAAATTGTTCCATCTGAATGCCAATAAAATGCAAAATAAAATGCAAGATACCATCAAATTTGAAATATATCACTGAAAGATATAAGGTGCATCAGAAGCACCATTTTCTTCAAAGTCTTGTAATATAGCATTGTATATATAATAGCCATGCTATAAGACCGATTACGTTAACCCTCGCCCGCACATGCCATTTTCCCATCCTAGAACGCACATGGGGGGGGGGGGGTTGCCACCCCCCCCGCGCCATTTCGTTCCTGTTGGAGATAGAGCTTAGCAGTAAAGACCAAAAAGATTCTTTGGGAAGAGACGAATCCAATGATACCCAGTTTTACCTTCTCAGGTCAGTCATTGACCTTCCAGGTCAGGTCAAACTAAAAAATATTGCTGTTTTGGGTCACCGTTGGATATCAAGTGCGCTGCTTATCAAATACCGATGACGATGCTGTTTTCTGGTGCCAAGCCAGCTAGAACCTCTTTGTCACACTACCCGACCAGAATTTTGCTGCTGAGGTCATTTCAGGTCAAGTTAGGTCAAGGTCAATTATATGTGTTTGTATGTCTGTGTGTGTCTGTGTGTATACTGATGTGTGCACCGATTGTTTTTGGGTCCATATTACATGAAATCATGATCTGAGAAGCTTTTACCAAAAATGCAGTCAAAAAACTTCACAAAAAGTAAATTCAGCTTGCCTAAAACGCAACTATCTTAGATGACCTAGGTTGACCTTGACCCTGACCTTGACCCCTGTACATCGTCGAACAACATGTTCCATGATAGGTGGGAGGTAAGACTGGCAAAAAAGGCCGAAATCAGGGTGTCAAAAGCTCACAAGGCCCATGGCAAGCGCAAGATGTTGAGAATTGGCCATTCGGGTCATGACATGACCTGAAAAACAAGGTCATATCTCCGAAACCAAAAATCACAGAAACTTGAAATTTTCAGAGGACATCAAGAAAGGATAGACGAGCAGCTATACGAAAAATCAGCCTTCTAGCTCTAAAAATGTTGAGTGCAGAGCAGAAAGACTACCTGGGGGGGGGGGTGGCAACCCCCCCCCCCATGTGCGGGCGAGGGTTAATCGGTCACCATAACGACTGTCCATTTGACGACACTAGTCGGACCAGTGCACTTACCGTTCCCTGCTTCTATCCTCAGGATACTGAAATCCTTCTCCTCCACGCCGCAACCCCCCTCCGGCCTGGACAGGCAACTTTATCTCATGCGGGCTGCTCCCTTGGAGCGGCACCGCTGCTCCCGAGGGAGCGCACCCCGTAGCCGGGTGCAGTGAGTGCCTTGGGGCTGGGTGGCCTGTCCTCTGGACGGGCCCAGCCCCGGCGACTCACTAGGGTGCCTGCCCAGACCAATGTCTCCCCCTATATCCTATTATCCCTCCGGCTCTGAAATGGTCTCATTGGACCGAAAGGGCCTAACCAAAAAAAAAAAAAAAAAAACAGTGCACTGACAGGCCTGTCGGGCTGCCTCCCACTGCTGTTCGCGTACCCATGGATACAACTCCATCCGAGCCAGCCGTCAACCGGTTACCGACGGCAGCCCACTCCGTCCAGCAGATAAAACATCAGCACGGCGGCTAGGAAAATGACAACCTGTCTTTTACTGATCGTCTTTTAGCAGCCAGGTAATGGAATAGCAGGGTAATGGAATAGCAGCGGCCAGCCAGCGCCACAGCCTGACGACTGAACAGTATGGAGACCGAACAGCGATGGCATGAAAATGACGAAATCGATGATGCACATTTTACCCTAATACAATGCTAGTTTGCTAAATATTGACAACTGGCAAGCGACTTTCGGCAGAAGAATACCAAGTAAAGCTCCACTCACTAACGATTAAACTCACCATTAAATAAACCACAAAATGATCAAACAGATACATGATAGATACCCAAACCCAAACCCAAACAGATAGATAGATAGATACCCCACTGAGAGCGGTACCGGAGTGCACCGACCCCGTCGCCGCGGCCGGCCACTCACCGGATCAGTGGAGGAGAGGCCGCCGGAGCCGCCGCCCGTCCAGCTGCCCAGCAGGCGCTCGATCTCGGAGCGCGGGTCGGGCCCGCTAGCGTCGGCTGCCGCTGCTGACGGTGGGTCCGGGTCTGGTGTGGCACGCCCGACACACAGAGACAGAGACGCACAGAGACACACGGAGAGGCACGGAGAGACACATTCGACACACCATAGACACCGGACAGGCACACCCGACACCAAAAACAAACACACACACACACACGCAGACCAGTTAGTGACTGCCAATTGCAGGCGTTCTACCACCAAGAGCGGAGGAAGGGTGTGCTTCACATACGTAGCGTGAGAAGGTAGGCAGTCGAAGCAAAAAAAAAAAAACTAATAAATAACAATACCAGCACCAAAACATCAGCATGGTACTAACTGGTTAGGCGGAACACAAGCAGATAGGAACTGAGCCGTGGTTAGAAATGCGACCCTTATCAAAATACAAGGATTTAAAAAAAAAAAAATTAACTCGAATGTTTGAATGGACGGATTGACAGAGCCGGAGTCAACGCTAAGCAGAGCTTGTTGCGTAGACCCCGACCCCTTCTGTCCGATCGCGCAATCCGGGTAACGGGAGAATTTAGATGCCAACCAAAGTTTTTAACGTGTCCTTCAAAGCCGGACACGGCCTGTCCCACTCAACTGACTTCAACTGGCTGCGGCTGCTCCCACCAACCGCAGACCATCCCCGTCAGGAGTCTCAAATATCGAGCGCCGGAACGTCTCGAACCCGGGCTCTCACTACCGGGAGTCCGATGCTCTACCAACTGAGCTACGGGACAGGCAATGATTGTTGTTGTTGCAATGATTGTTGCCACTAATAAAACCACTGAAACTAACGTTCCAACAAGGCTCATCCGTTCTAAGGAAACATTAGAATGCAGTTAAATTGGTACACAGGGGGCAGAGCAAAGCATCGAGATGCTTCCAGAAATCCATAGCAACTAGAGCAACTAGCTAGTTTACAGCACACGACGGAATGTTTAAGGCAGGTGATATTTGACACATCCAGGCATCACTGATGCATGACTATAAATATGCTGGCAAATATCCCGACAATACGTGCAGTTCGTTATGTAACAAGAAACGGCCTCAATTATTCATTAATTTGCAAAAAAAATGGTTAAGGTGGGAAAGGCATAAGAACATGTTAAGAATATTATTCCACAAAATGTCTTTAGGTAGTTGACAGTTAAAATCCAGAGAAGAGCGCAGACAATCATGCAGCAGACTGTCTTAGTCTCCCCATGCCCACAGGAGCCCCAGTGGCCCGTGTTAGACCTACCCCGCCCCGGACCTTTATGAGACCGCATGAAACCCGCCCCGGACCGTATGAGACCCGTCCCGGACCGTATGAGACCCGCCTCGTCACTAGCCGGGTCGGTCCTGGTCGGTCTCCGGCACCCATACCGTCATCGGGCAGCTGCAGCCCGTCGTCCGAGTTGGTCGGAGACGGCGCGTTCACGTCCGGCGACGGCACGGGCGACACATCCGGCAGCTCGGGCACCAGCTCCTCCAGCTTACGGCGCACATCGCGAACACGCTTACTGAAGTTCTTGTACGCCTGCCGCCAGAAACGAACCGTCAACTGGCGGACATAGCACCGAGAGAGCACAACGGAATGGAAACAAAAATATTACAACAGTTACTTTTGTTACAGCTTTCACCATACACATGAGCAGGCAGGCAATAAGAAAACAAAGCCGATACAAATAAACTCCTCAGCGGGATAACTGTAGGCCGTCATCTACAGCCAACGACACAACAATCATGGCATGCTCATTGCTCATTCATACTATCTGTCGGTGATTAGACTCATCAAATCCTGTCGTACAGCCAGTTTCATCCTCCCGTCCCCTCCTCATTCACCCTTACCACCCCGGTAGGCGCGTGTGCACGTACCACGGCCACCACTTTGGCGTCGGTGCGCTGCGTCTCGTAGAAGATTTCGCTGCGCTCCAGCTGCTCGATGAGCTCGGCGCGCTGCTGGATCTCTCGGTCCAGCGCTGACACGTACCGCTCCACGGCGCGCACACCCTCCTCCAGCTCACTGACGAACAGCTTCGACTGCGAGCGGGCTGCCGACGCAGAGAGACAGGGCGGGGCGTTAGAGGACCGCCTTCCGGCTCCCCCGAACCGTCACCGGCCGAGGGAGGTTACTGGCGCTCCGAGGCGCCGTGAAAGGGAAATTGAAAAACAACGTGTGGCTGGCAAAGAGAGTAACGTTTTTTCCCCAAGGTCGTGCAGGACTTACCCTCGATAACGCCACCTTAGTTGCAGGCCGCACGATTAGTAACAAAAAAAAGGCCCAGCCTGAACCAGGGACGCAAAGTCCAGCAGCGGCAATACGAGCGCTCCTCGTCCCACTCTCACACCTGACGCTGGGGGCGCCCCGCTGGGGCTGTTCGCTCACATTTGATGTTGTTGCGCAGCTCGTCGAGCGCCGTGTCGGAGACGTGGAACTCGCCATCGTTGATGGCCTTGAGCAGCTGATCTGTCTCCTTCTCGCTTGTCTCCACTTGCCGCACGTGGTTGATGAGATCGCTCGTCTGTCGGCAGCGGGGCGCCAGACCACGTCACAACGGCGCACATCGACCCGCGGCGGCGCCAAGCATGGCCACTACATAGTATACAACCTATCATTTTAGCAGAAGGGGTCGTAATCCTAGTGTTGAAACAAATAGAGCATTATCGCATTTCTCGAAGTACTCTAAAAATGGTAGAGTACTTCAAGATCCATTGTATCGGTCGCATGGAAACATGCGTACAGGTGTACACTGTACAGGTGGCCGGATGACATGCAGCTAGGTTCCGACTAACGACTGATATAGTTTGTCATATGGTTTTCTGAATTAACCCTCGCCCCGTTAGGGGCGGTGACAATCCCCCCGGGGGGCAATTTGCCCCCCCCCCCCCGTGGTTTTTCCTGAATAGCAAGCCAAATTTTCAGTACCTTCCCGGGCATCGACACCTTCACACAAAATTTCAAGTCTTAGGTCACCTTAGGTCAGGAGTTATTGAGGTCAAACTGAGGTCATGGTCGAGCAAAAATGAGCAAAACACAAGAAATCTTGAAACGCTCACAAAGCAATTTCAAAGTTCTTTACATGGTCATGCAGAGAAAAGACGGCACTACAAAACTGCTATCTCGGATTTTCAAAATTTTGGTACTGATCCATAAAAATAAATAAGTTGATTTTTTTTAGAAAAACGCAAAAAAACAAGTTTTTCGAATTTCGAAAACCGGAATATATGTGATAGTCCCTGCGCTCTTCTATCTACATACCAAAGTTGAGATCAATACCTCCTTTTTGGCCAAGCCATGGATGAGATAATAATCATCCATGGCCAAGCTATAGCGAAAAACTGATCAATTGATGACGTCAAATTTTATAACACAATTTTTAGCAATTCTAGACCACGTAGCGCAAATCAAAGAACAGCATTGAACTCCCCGTGACGAGCTGCATCAAATCGATGCCCATTTTATGCAAAAAATCAACTTTGAAATTTGGCCTAATTTGACCTGACCTTGACCTGACCTTCACCAGAACATAATCTAAACTGACCCTAAAGGCTGCCTGACCCACATAATCGCATTTGTCATGTAAAATTGACCATAAAACATGCATCACATGATATTTTCATATTGTGACCCTCAGTGACCTGACCTGGCATCAGTGACCTCAAATAGCAAAATATGTGTTTGACGAACAATTCCCCATCGGCCATCGATGATTTTCAATGACATGCATTTTACTTGATTTTACAGCACATTTCTTGAAATGCCTGTAAACTGTGAAAATTCGACCTTTGACCTGATCTGTGACGCTATCGGTTTGACCGAGGTCAATGAAATTGGGTCAAAATGTAGTTCCCCGTTTGGGCTATCCAACACCGTTTGCTGTTTGTCGCTATGTTGCGTGGCTCTCGTGATCTTAGGGGGGGGCATAATGCCCCCCCCCCCCACACACCCAACAGGGCGCGTTGCTCGGAAGACCCCAACGGGGCGCGGGTTAACTGATAGCTATCTTATGTAACCATCATGGTACACATTCTCTGTAATCCGCATGACAGTAAATGAAACCAAATCTACATCAGGTACGCCGGTATTGGACATACAATTATGCGCTATATGTATTCATACGAGTACATGAATAAAAGCTGATGAATATGGAAATGGATGCATATTATAATCAGAGCTATGAAAAATCAATAGCGTATGCGGCGCCCTCGGTCACGACGTGGCCCTCAGCCACAGGAGTGCGCAGCCCGGCGTAGGTACCCACCCTGAAGTCGGAGAGGGCCTCGACGCGCTCATTTCTCACTCAAAAGAATGCTAGGATATGGGTGTCATCACCCTGAAGCCGGATATGATCTACGGCCTGAAGTTGGACCAGATTTAAGCGTTCTTACCCTGACGTCGGAGAGGATCTGGGCGTTCTTACCCTGAAGTCGTGGAGGATCTGGGCGTTCTTACCCTGAAATCGGAGAGGATCTGGGCGTTCTTACCCTGAAGTCGTGGAGGATCTGGGCGTTCTTACCCTGAAATCGGAGAGGATCTGGGCGTTCTTACCCTGAAGTCGGAGAGGATCTGCGCGTTCTTACCCTGAAGTCGTGGAGGATCTGGGCGTTCTTACCCTGAAGTCGGAGAGGATCTGGGCGTTCTTACCCTGAAGTCGGAGAGGATCTGGGCGTTCTTACCCTGAAGTCGGAGAGGATCTGGGCGTTCTCCTTGGTGTCCGCCTTGGTGACGTTGCTGACCACGTTGCGCAGCGTGGACGTGAATGCCGGCTCGAATATGCCGCGCTCGTCCCAGATGTTCAGGATGCGCGTGATGGCCGGACGCAGCTTCTCGTCCCTGTGGGGAGGGGCAGTGAGCCAGCGGTCAGTGTTAGTCGCAGAGGACTGAGAAATGGCGCTCATTAGCTGTGGTGGTTCCAACTCAATACGGCGCCAAAAGGCAATAAAGTGACTGCAATTCGTAGCATCATTGTGTCGAGAGTTCATGAACCTCCACGAATCATACTATGAAAACATTTACATCAAAGGCGCCTTTAATGTAAATGTTTTCATAGTTTGATTCGCGGAGGTTCATGAACTATCGACACGATATTTGTCCATATTATAACTACAATCGTAGCATCGTCTTGAAATGCGACAATCGATTGTGCATTAAAGTGTATCCGTAAAATGGTGCTTAGGCCAGTTAAACTAACGAAAAAAAAAATCACCAGCGGCGGTTATTCTAATATCAAAATGTTGGGCAAGAGCTTCTCCAGTTACGCTAAAAAAAAAATTGTTGATATGCAAAAAAATATTAGCCAGCCAAACTTACTTTCTATATTTGCGGTTGTTATTTCTTGTTGCGTGGTTCGTAAAATTTGTGACCGACTTTAAAATCGTTCGTGTTGTCCCTTTTATTGCATCATTTTGTAACAATAAACCAACTTTTCCAATGTTTCAAATTTATTGTAACATTTTTTGTTACAATAAATTAAAATGGGTGGATTTAGTGAGATTGGTGCAGAAAAAGAAAACATTTATAGTGACATCGGACGATGTCGCAATAAACTCAATTTTTGTAGCACGCGATTTGCACAGGTTTTAAACAAACTGAAAAGTCGTCCTACGTCTCCACCCTAGGAGCTTTAATATTGTGATTCTTGAATTGAATATGCTGTTTATTGTAACATCCATCCCGAGTATTTCCCGATGTGGCAGCCTTTCACGTTGGCAAAAGTGGCGCACTAGCTTTTCCAACGTGGCGAGCAGCGTCTTCTGCGACTTCTGCTGCTTCTGCTGGCCTCCTGTGTTAGTGATGTCGTGTTTGTGAAAGGTCTTTGTTTGTACCTGTCTCAGTTTGAATTTTGCAGGTGAGTTCTTTGGCGCGCTCTGTCGTTGGCATGCCGCTCAGCATTGGCACGGAATATATAGTAGAGTGTATCGATAACCGAAATTATATCTCGCAATTTTTGACTGCCTACCAGGGTTGTGCTCGACTCAAAAAAATTTGCCGACTCGACTCATCATTCAACTTCAGAAAGCCCTGACTCAACTCTGACTCAAACAAGGACCTGATTTTTTCCCTTGACTCGACTCATGACTCAAGCGGCTCAATGAAAATATGAGTTGACTCAAACTTGACTCAAATTTTTGTTGAGTCAAGTGTGTTGACTCAAAATTGACTCAGATGAAAAAATTGTTGAGCGGAGGGGGGGGGGTGAAAAAATCCGGCAACAGGGCCAGGCCTAAGTTGTTAGGCGGGGGAGAATGAAAAGCTTATACCTATATATTGTTTCTAAAAAGATGAGTCAGCTGACTCATGTTCCTAAATGTTTTTGACTCAACTCAATGTTAAAAGTTATTTTACTGACTCAACTCTGACTCAACTCAACACCTTAATATTTTTGTCCGACTCAACTCTGACTCAACTCACCAGCTCAACATTTTATCCGACTCGACTCAAACCTGACCCATTTTAGTCAGAGTTGAGTCAAATTTCTGACTCGACTCATGAGTCAAGCACAACCCTGCTGCCTACGACAGGATTTATTCGTCACGACACTAATACGGCATTGTACCTTTTGCATCAGTTATAGGTTGTTATTATATTCGCGATTATAATATCAGTGTCCCTCGCGATATGTAAACGAGACATTGCACTGATGACTGCACGCTGAATGTTCATAGGTGACCAAGGCCGGCCACTCCCCCTCCCCCCCCCCCCCAACACTGCTTCCTCCCCATCTCGCGTGAGCCAACGGCTGCAGCACTGGCCGCTTACAAGGTGCCCATGTTCTCTTTCTCTTTCATGCGGAGGCGGGAGCCCGCCATGGACGGGCAAGGCGCAGAGCTGCGCAGACAGATGCGCGGCCGACGGTCGGCCTCGTCCGCACCCAGCGGCACGCTGGCAACATCGACGCGTCGAAGGTCGGCCACAGCAGACGTCACGCCGGCCGCCACAACGCGCAGCAGCCCGCGAGCGTCGCCGCGCGAAAGGCCGGCGACTTCGAGGCGTGGTAGACCGGCCACCTCGGCGCGCGGCAGGCCAGCTGTTTCAGCACAACGCAGGCAGCCAACCGCAGCTCCCGGCCGAGAGGAGACGGCTGGCAGCAGGCGGGCGTCGTCTGTGCGCGGCGGACGTACTTCTTCCGCGCGCGGCAGGAGGGCGGCTTCGGCTTCGGCAACGGCTGCAGCGGCTACGACTTCCGACCGACCCGTGGCTGGGAATACCGCTCTGCAGGACTCGGCGGGGGCGGGCGAGCTACGCGGGCTGGTGACGCAGCTAGTACAAGACGCCCTCCGCGCCACTTTACCGGGGATGGCGGGCCCATCGTCCATCAGCATGAGCCCCGACCACACGCAGCAGGCAATGGACGTCCTCCCCGCAATGGACGCCAACGACGCAGACGAGAACGCCAACCCGCCGCCACACGCGCCGCCGCTGCCGGGCGGCATGGCGCCAGGCATGAATGAGTTAGGGATCGACCTCACCATACCTGCCACTACCCGGAATGCCATTGTCGCCCATAAGTTTGTGGACCTCGGCACACTACTCCATTTTTCCGACGGCGAGGAGTCGACCACGTTTGACCTGATAGATGGGCGACTTCGCCCGAGACGTACAACGCGAGCCATCACGTCTTTCAGCGGCTGGGTGACAGCATTCCTGCGCTTTGCGGGAGTCTATCTCACTGCTCACCCTGCCGACGCCGGTGGGATAATCAAACATATGCAGCAGGTGAGCATGCTCCAGGTGCCTGGGCTCGGCAATGCATGGCGGGAATTCGACGAGAGATTCCGGCGCGCCAGGGAGCTGGCCCCTCAGGCCTATCCCTGGGGGGGTAACCGCCCCAAACTCGGCTCTATGGCTCAGCGCCATGGGACAGGGCATCGGGGGAGCGGCGAGGGCTCCGCCAGCACCGGCGCGCGCCAACGGCGGGGGGCAAACATTTCGAGTCTGCTACGGCTTTAACAGCCCCAACGGATGCCGCCGCGACAATTGCACTTGGCTGCACAGGTGCCGTATCTGTCGCGGGCCCCACCCCGGGCACGCGTGCCGGCGCTCCAGCTACAGGCGGGGCCCCGCCGGCCGCGGCGTCGCAGCCAAGTCCGAGCGTAAATAGTCTGCGACAAGTGGCGCGATCCTTTCAGCCGCGGGTCCCCCATGACGTACTCCAGGACTTGCTGCTGGGTTATGATCCTGCTATAGCCGCCCGGCTAGTCCAAGGGTTCGTAACTGGCTTCTCGCTCGGTTGCGAGGCGGTCCCAGTCGGGGATTGTGTGATAAATTTGCGATCTTGTGAGGAGGCACCGCAGGTCATTGAGCGCTACATTGAGTCAGAACGCGAAGCTGGTCGTATTGCGGGTCCGTTTCCTCTTCCATCCCCGTGGATCCGGAAATTTTCGCCGATTGGGCTCATTCCGAAAAAATCGCCTGGCACCTATCGTGTCATTCATCACTTGTCCTTTCCGTTCGGCAACTCAGTCAATGATTATATCCCTCGAGAGCGCACTGCTGTGAGCTATGGCTCCATCGATCAGGCTGTACAGCTTATCAGTCAATTTCAATCTCCTTACCTGGCAAAAACTGACATAGCGAGCGCCTTTCGCATGATTCCGGTCAGCCTGTCAGACTGCCCCCTGCTCGGGTTCCGCTGGAGAGACGCCGCTTTTGTCGATCTAGCGCTGCCAATGGGCTGCAGTTCAAGCTCCAGCATCTTCCAATGCTTCAGTGACGCGCTGGTGTGGATGGCTCAGACACATTTCCAAGCGGGCCCCATCGTGTCTGTGCTGGATGATTTCCTATTCATTGGTGAGTCTCAAGCTGCCTGTGCAACATATCTGGCGGGTTTTAACCCGCGCACCGACGGGGGGGGATATCCGCCCCCCCCCCCTGAGGTTTTTCGCGAATAGCGGGAAAACCGCGGCGCGTAGCGCCGCGAAATTTGGTATGACTATAACCTCACCAATTTTACACATGGTGTGCAAGTTTGAACCTCCTACCTTTTAAGGTCAGGTCACCAGGTCACTTTGAATGACCCAACCTCAAGTCACTTTTTTGCAACTTTGTCAACGTGCCAGAGCTACAGTAGATGTCGGAGGCCTTTGAAAGTCGCAGGATGTTATTAGGTCATTAGTAGCTACAATTTGTATATCTCGGAATTGATATCGGTGACCTAAGGTCAGGTCAATTTCGCGACCTCCCCATTATAAGTCAATGGGGGAAAAATCAACTCCCTGTTTTTACCACTAAAACGGGTCGGAATGGCCCCATATACCATACATGACTTCATATACGATCAACCTTCACTACCTTGAGGTCTGTATTGCTGTTGGGCAGCTGTGAGGTCATGTGACGTCATCAAAGGTCACCAAAGGTTTTTGGCCAATAACTCCGTACAGGAACAAGATACAGACGCGTGGATGGTCTCATTGTGTTCAGCTCGTCAAGACGCATCGAATGATATACATGATGACCTCGAGGTCACGTGACCTGAGGTCAACCTTTGACCTTGACCTTTCGAGGTCAACATATATATCATTCGATGCGGATTGACGAGAGGATCACGATGATGCCCTTAGTTTGTTCCTATCTTGACTAATTCGAAAGTTATTCGAGAAAAACTCTCTCCATATCTAGCGCCGCCATTTTGACTTTTTCGACCCCTGTGACGTCATCTTTGACCTGACCTGAAAATGACCTTAGTAAAAATTGTAGATCTTGGCCGTGCGTATCCGATGCCGTTTACCGCTTGTCGCTAGCTTGCTTCGTTCTCGAGATCTCAGGGAGGGGGCGGTCATCCGCCCCCCCCCCCGTCGGTGCGAAGTTGGCGCAGACCCCCGTCGGTGCGCGGG